TTCTTTCTTTCTTTCTTTCTTTCTTTCTTTCTTTCTTTCTTTCTTTCCTTCTTTCTTTCTTTTCCAGGTTTGTGATCATTGCCTGTATCAATTTCCTAATCTGGGTGACTAGGAAAAAAAAATCACTTCTTGGGCTTGCTTTCTTTGTGCTTGTTGGTTTCATGTATAAAACTAGGTCTGCATGACAGTGTTACAAATGAAAAACCCCGAGAGACAGAGTTTCTGGGTAATTAATAAGAAATTTATTAATTAGGCTAGAATAAAATCAATAAATTGATGGTCAGTGGTTTCTCTAGGCAACCAAAGATCCCCAATGGAGAGTGAGAGTCTGAAATATCTTTCTAAAAGGGAATGCCTCTAACAAGTGAAAATAAACTCTGATTGGTGGACATTTAATGGGGAAGTGGGCTAGAAATCTTTAGCTTCTCTTTCTGAGAATGTGGCTTGATCATGAGACTCAATAGCCTCCAGCAATCTGGATCTTTATCCAGACATCTGGCTGGTTTTCTCCATGAGCTGTGTCACCCTACTAGGGGGATAGAAGTACAGGGGCTCTTTTACCCAGGGTAATGACTCACCCAGACTGGATTTTATTTATACTCTAATCTAAACAGAAATTAGGTCTCCTAATTTTAGTGGGATACTGCCCAAGATTGAAGAGCATGTTCCTTGAGGGCTAGAACTAATCTCATCAATCAGTCATGTCCTTCAGACTGACTTTAACATGAGCTAGGCCTTACTGAGGAAATATCAAGAGAAAAGCCTAGATTCCAATTTAGTAATTGGTTATTAATACAATAGTATAATAATAATTTCTCTCAGCATCATCTTTTTTAAGATGTAATGATTTTATATATAATATGGGATATTATATTGAAGACATATATCCTCAAAGGGATATAGGCATTTGTGTGTGTGTGTGTGTGTGTGTGTGTGTGTGTGTGTGTGTCCTTTGAGGGAATATTTGAGGATATATTGAGAATTGAGGATATTTATGCTTGAGGATATATATTTGAGGAGATAGAGATATCTAGGTATCTATATCTCCTCCAAGGGGACATGTAATAAAGATATGATATAGGATAAGAAGAGATTTGATAAAGATGTAAAATTTTAATTCTCTTTTTTACTTTTAATGAAGTAGTAAGCTTCACTTCAGGGAAAGCAATATGGGAAAAGTGGACAAAACTCTACCAATATCCCCAACCCATGAAATTCAGAAAATGACTTCATCAAGTTTCCTGAGGTTGTGAGCTTCCAGTAAGTAATTCATCCCTCCCCTTGCTTTAATATCTCTTACTAGTACCTCTTGGTATTATACATTGAATTTCCCTGATATGTTTTTATAACACAAAGACTGTCCCTCATCTATCTCCTCCTTAGATTGCTTCCATTTGAGAATTAGGAAATATATGACTGATTCATGAATGTTTCCTTGGATAAAAGAATATACTTAAGATTTCTTGTGATAATTGTAATAGTATTAATAGCCTTGAAACTTCCGCTACTATTCTACAGAAAACAATGAAAAAGGCCAAGTAATGATGATGGTCCTAAATGATATATTTTCAATTGTCCCAGAGATAATAGACAACTACTAAATTTTTTTCAGGTTCTTTTGTAAATTCATAGATGTCTATCCATACAGATGCCAAAATACACAGGCTTTGAATACAGTTTAGTAACAGCTTTCGGATGTGATTTAGTAATAGGCTTTAGATGTGTTTTTAGTAACTGTCTCAGATATAATTTAGTGATTGTTGTTAAAAAATCTCAAGTTGGATTGAGGCCCCCATTATAGAATTGGTTTTAATTATCAAGACATTTGTTTACTACTCTATCTGGAAGTACATATATGCACATACATTTGGAAAAGGAAAATACTTGTGGTCCTCAATATTATAAGAAATAAGACTTAACTTTATATATTTTTTATATAGTATAAGAAATAGCACTTAACTTTAGGAAAAAGTTGTATCTCAATTTGTTGAAGTTTATATATTAAATGGACTAGTTGTTCATAACATTTTATTAATGAAATAAATTAAAGTCTGTAGTGTGTTCTAATTGCTGGATTAAAGGGTCAGTTTTCATATTAGATCAGAGAGTTACTAATTAGAACTCATTTTGTACCTTATTTTGTGAGCTGCTGTTAAATGGAAGATTTTTTTGTTTGTTTGAGGTTTTTCTGATAACATCAGGAGAGAAAAGGGACTTATTTTACAAAGTCTGATGATTCTTCTAGCCTATGGGTGGCATTATTCATATCATGTACAGGGCTCAGATTAAGGTTGAAATGGTAAGTAGTATGTGAAGACTGAAATTATTTGAACTTTGAGATGAACTTTTGTTGTTGTTTAGTCATTTAGTCATGTCTAACTCTCTGTGACCCTGTAAACCATACTGTCTATGAGGTTTTCTTGGCAGAAATACTGACATGGTTTGCCATTTCCTTCTCCAGTGGATTAAGGCAGAGGTTAAGTGACTTGCCCAAGGTCACACAGGTAGTAAGATCTGAAGAACTCAGATCTTCTTGACTCTATCCAAGCCCAGCACTCTATCCACTGAGCAATCTAGCTGCCTTCAGATGAATTCCAGGTAGCTTAATTTGATATTTTTCCTATAGTTCTACTGTTTAAAAATTAGCTCCATAAGATCTGAAGTAGCTTTCATCACATGTATTAATTACAAATTAATTTGGTCAAATTAATTTGTCACAGTATGATTAGATTTTCTAGGTTCTACTAAATTATACTGTCTTATTGCTAGAAGGTTTAAACAGCATTTAAGCACCACTGAGGTGTATTGGATGTTCAGGGAGGACTAGCACCTCTGTTGTGAGGGCTTGCCAAGCCCTCTTCAGAGCTGCTCATCTACTTTTGGTGTCCATCTGGCACTCAACTCTCCCTTGTGGCTCCAAGAAACTCTAGAACACACAGTAGCCATTCTCTGGTAAACCATCTCAGTAACTAGGCTAACCAGATTGAGGGTAACCAACAGGCCTCAAATTCATAGGTGAGTTAAGGGCATGTGAAGATTTTTCCCAGTGTACAGACAGATGAGAACAATTTGTTCCAACAGCCATGAGGATGACTGAAGAAAGCACTGTGGAGTGCTTAGAGTTTGGTCAGACATCGAAGATGCCAAAGTCATTAACTGCATCCCAGGCCATCACCAGTCATCCTGACTTTTGTCTTGCCACTGGACTTTGATGACCAGAAGAGAGAGTGAGGTTGACAACTTTGTGCAATTCTGCTTCACTTCAATCCAACTCACATACAAGTCAAGACATTACCCCATGATGTCATCGGTTCTCTTTGAAAATGTAGGACAAACAACAAGAAGCAGCATTACCTAGGGAACCTCTATATATCAAGTGGTACCTAGGAAGTGGATTTAGTAGAAGAAACACCTATTCAAACTATTCTGGGTACAAGGTCTATTTCAGGTACTATTAACAACTGATATTGCAATCAAGGACACCAGGATACTTGTCAACATTGGTCTAGATCAGACACTTTTGGCACAGAATTTCCAAAGTAAACTGTTTCCCAGAAGCAAATGACTTCTTAGGACAGCAAACCCAAGAAGACAGAAAAAGAAATATTTTGTTTAAATGGACTTTTGGTGTTGGGTACTAGGAATAGGCTGGACCAAAGAAATTATGATATGCCAATACTTGTTATTATATTGCTTTTGTTTGCTGTTGTATTCAATGCTGTCCAAATCTGCCTATGAAAATGCTTGTTAGGCCCTTCTTTGCCATTATTCCTTTTTTCTCTTTGAGTTGTAGATCAAGCCCACCAATAGCTGTTGAGAAGAAGAACAAATAAAGCTGTGGTGTACATACCAACTCTAATTATTATCCCCTAAATCCATCTGGAATGTAAGAGTATGCTGGGGCAGCTGATGCACTCACCCACACACCCAGATCTTGGCTCTGAGTTTGTTAAGTGTGTGTTGTGACATTGCATAATAATGTTGTAATGTCAGTGTTGTGGCAGCACTATGATGTTACTGTCTCAATCAATTTCTTCATGTTTAAAGTACTTCATATCTTCCAATGGAAATGTTGGGAATAAATAACTTTTCAGTAATATTTGTTTCTTGAGATAAAGGCACTAGAACAATTCAAACTATAATTGTAACAATTTAAAAATCCATTTGGCCTATTCAGATTACATATAAATAACTTTCCTGAGTTATTTCTATTTTTAGTTTTTAGATTAAAAGTTTATGATAGAAAACAGTGTCTAGATTACTAAAAAGAGTCTTGGTTACAAATGTAGTTGCATGGAACTTACTTGTAATTTGCTTTGTATCATAAACTCATACTAAGGTTGTATTATCCTCTAAGTTCACCCCTAAGTGTCTTCTTTCTAGTAGATTGAACAAAATAGTTTTCTTGGTTGATATTAAAAGCCAGAACATACTTGAGAAACTTACACTTATGTATTTTGCTAGTAGATATTGAGTTATCAAGAGGATATAATCTCTACTACAAGTCCCATCAGTTCTAGAACAATAACTATAGCATATTTAAAATGTACAAATGATATGTTCGTGTATATAATTACTCCCAGTCAGAAAGGAGAGAGTGTGTAATAATAGGTCCATGGCACTCTTGGGAGTACAGTCATATCGATGAATAAGAGTATTATGAGATGAAATTTGGGCCTAAATGACTTAACCTTTGAAGCTCTATAAACTTCTGATTCTTGGAACAAAGTTCAATACAGGAGACTCATAGTTATTAACCAAACTACTAAACTTTCTTTATGAGTGTTAGCACAGACAATTAATCCAAAGATTAATGTGGTGTTGTAAGGCAAATTCTTTTGAGCTATGAGAAAGAAGAGAGGCTGAATAATATACTCCACCCATTAGCAAGGAGGTATAAAAGCCCCAGTGCAAATGGTGACATTCATCTTTGAGGTGCTTATTCTTTGTAACCCAACCAAACCTTCTCTTCTGATATAATGCCGTACAATTGCTCCTCTAGAAACTACTTACCTAGGATTCGTGGAGACCAATGCAACATTCCAACAGTTGTCTCTGCTGTGCCAAGAGAGACAGAGTGCCAGAATGGTATCTATTTACCAAGTTCCTTCCAAGGTAGTTCTTGGCTCCTAGATCACTGTCGAGAAACTTGCTGTGAACCCACAAGCTGCCGGCCAAGTTGCTATCCAAATATTACCTGCACCTCTGGTACTAGCCAAGTAACTTCCTGCCAACAAACAACTTGCCATGCCTCCAGGCCCTTCCAGATTTCCTTCAGTCGACCATGCACCTTTGTCTCCAGTAGCTGCCGACCACGTGGTGGTGTCTCTAGTGTCTTCCAGCCAACCTGCAGCATCACTAGGACATACGAACGGCCTTGTGCATCCAACTGTCGCCCAACTTGCTGAATATTCAGGACCTAATGGCAAGACCCATCAATTGTGTTTTTAGGATCTGCCCACCTGCTACCCAGTCTACAACTGATTATTAACTGCTGACCTTTGCTTGAACTACTTCTGACTACCAGCTATCCACAAACTACCCTTGGTCACCTAGGATTTTCTTGGCCAAGTGAAGCTTACCTTAAAGGCTGATCATTAAATCTATGTAATCTGCAAATGTTTTCGGACATTCTCCATGTAAGCATGTTTTGATGATTTTGACATTTCAAGCTTACTTTTTTCCTCTTGCTTCAGTGTCTTGCAATGTATTTCTGAATAAAATTGCATTGACTATCACTGCAAACAGTCTCACTGGAGTTCTTTATCTATATTATCTATACATAAAATTACCAGGTGTTAGTAAGTTACCTAGTTTGCTGAAGACATAGTACATATTCAATTGATACTTCAGGGTTTTTGATTGATTGAAACATGTGAACTGCAGAATAACTTTTTGCTCTGAGCAGCACTACTTATATGACATGGTGAGGATATGTCGAAAATTAAATAATGTGATTATATTGAAAGGACTCACCTTTTTATGTCTCTAGTTCTTGGCTTTCGGTCACCAAGTTTGGTAGAACAAAAAAGGCGATGTTGAGAGCAATTAGATATTCAGAGAATTGCCTAATCACTTGGTCATATTGGGATTCCCCCCAAGGTGATAAAACAAAAAGAAAACTCTTGGAAATCAAGGCTTCAAAATTTACTCTATCAAAAAGATCAGCTAGAACTCTATGAAATGATCATTGTTGAAGAGCTTCTTTCATCAGATACATTAACCTTTCAATAACATGATCTCAAGATTAAAAATTTAAGAATGGAAAATACATGAAATGATGAAAAGCGAGGTGAGCAGAACCAAAAGAACATTGTATACAGTAACAGCAATATTATTTTAAGAACAACTTTGATGGTGCAGTGGATAGAGCACTGGCCCTAGAGTCAGGAGGACCTAACAGGCCTCAGACACTTGACACTTCCTAACTGTGTGACTCTGGGCAAACCACTTAACCCTGATTGCCGCACCAATAAAAAAAAAGAACAACTTTGAGCAACTAAGTCATTTTTTACTATTATAAATAAACAAATTAAAAGTAAAAGACATATGAAGAAAGATGCTATCAGAGAAAGAATTGATAAATAAAAGTATATATAGAACAATTTTACATATGCCTTTTGTGTGTAATAGTAGCCATCTCTGGGGGGGGAAAGAAAAAAAGAAAAAATAATAAATTTACATAACTTTGTTGTATATTTGGAGGGAACAGCAAGTTGTATGTGGTGTATGAAACACGCAGTTTCACATGCAATCATCTTTTTTTTATTATACTGTTATGGAAATGTTTGTTTTGTTGTGTGAGTTAAAAATAAAATAAATTTGCTATACAAAAAAATAAGAATGGGCAGAACTTTCTGTGCTAGCCAGGAGACATATGGCAATGCATTGGATTATTTAATACAGTTTGGGTATGTTTTTGTTCTCACTTCACTGGAACTTAAAGTTTAGAAGAGGCTATAATGAGAACCTGAAGTATTAAAATGACAACTCTATAAAAAAGGAACAGTAAGAAAAATTATCCGTTTAACCTTCTATTAGATAAGAATACTACATGAAAATACACCTCTATATTTTGTCCTAGAAGTTAGCTAGTCAGTCTTGGAAATTACCCTCTTTTTGGGATAATTGATAGATAGATATAGATATATAGAAATATTTTTATCCAACCCTCTTTCTGAAGCACCAGCTTTCCATCAACATTTGCCTAATAAACATTGCATGCTATACATCCCAGAGGCATCTCAAGCTCAATATGTCTAAAACAGAATTCATTACATTTGCTCCAAACCCATCCAGCTAAGGCAGTTAAGTGGTGCAGTGGATAGAGAAGTGGGTCTATTGTTAGAAAGACCTGAGTTAAAATCTGCCTTCAGAGACTTACTTAGCTGTTTGACCATGGATCAAGCCACTTAAACTCTGTTTGCCTCAGTTTCTTCAACTGTAAAATGGAGATAATAATAGCACCTACTTTATAGGGTTGTTGTAAGGATCAAATAAGGTAAGATTTGTAAAGTGCTTGGCACAGAGCCTGGCACATGGTAAATGCTATATAAATGACAGCTGTTTTATTATTATTAATTATTGTCATTATTATTATCATTATCATCATTACTCATATTCCAAACTTCCCTATTTCTATCAAGAGCATTACCAGGCTTCCAGTGACTCCTGTCTGAAATATTGCAATCCTAGGGGAAAAAATTGGGGCTCTGAAGACTACGTGGAGTAATATAGAATACTAAATTAATTGAATAATGAGATGACCTTGGAATTGTAGATATTTCTCTTAACAACTTTGCCACCTTATCAATTTTCCCCATGCAATGATTTGATTAGTTAAATCTATTTTTAGTACCATAATTAGATTAAGCAAATTGTTAACTCATATATTCTTAGAAATATCATGAATGATGAGAGCACATTACTGTAAGGAGACCATGTTCTGTCTGTATATACTGCCCATCCTGCTCAGAAAACATTCTTTGAAGTAGCTTGATGTTAAATACCCCATTAAATATCCAGAATTATTACCTTGACTGCCCCCCGCCAAATCTATACTGTACACCCTCAGAGTAAGACATGGACTTATGGGTCAACAGATACTCCAACCATTTCTCTTCAGAAATCTAACAGGAACAGAATCATAGAATTTGAGAGTTGGAAGTGTACTCAGAGCCATCTAGTTCAATGCTTTCATGAAAGGAATCACCACTACAGCATACTTAATAAGTGTTTGTCCAGTCTCTGCTTGAAGACATTCAAAGAAAGAGAAACTACCACCTCTCAAAACAGCTCATTCAATTTTGGGGCAGTTCTAATAACAAGAATTATTCATGACATTAATCCTAAATTTGCATTTTTGGTAACCCCTATCTAATGCTCCTGGTTATGCTATCTAGAACCAAATACAACAAGCCTAATCTCCATGTCTCCATGTGCATTCTCTGTTTTCATCTAAACAGCATCAGTTCTCTCAACTACTCCTTTTATGACATAGATTCAATACTATTCACCCTCCTGGTTGTACTCCTTTGGTCACTTTCCAGCTTTTCAATGTCTTTCTTAAATAGTGGTGCACAGAACTAAAAATAATACTCTAGACAAGGTCTAATAAGGACAGAGTACAACAAGGCTACTACTCTTAGAAACTCAATGCAGCACAAGATACTATTATTTTTTTCCTGCCACATCACTCTGCTGACTACTACTGATTTTGTAGGCCACTAAAACCTCTAGGTTTTATTTAGAATAATAGCTGTCTAACCTGACCTCTTCCATCTTATACTTCTAAAGTTAAATTTTGTGCCCAAATATAGGACTTTACATTAATTCCTGTTATATCAGATTTAGCCCAATGGTCTAGGCTGTTAAGGTTTTTTTAGATCCCGATTCTGTCATTCAGTGTAGTAGTTATACCTCCTATCTTTGTGCCATCAACAAATTTGGTAAGGATGTTAACTTCATTCAAGTAGTTGATAAAAATGTTAAACAGCACAGGGCTATAAACAAATCCCTAGGATAGTCCACTGAAGATCTCCTGCCACATTGACATTATGCATTAACAACTAATTTTTGGGTTTCACTATCCAACCAATTCAGAATCCATATAATTATATTATCAACTAATCCATATATTTCTATCTTCTCCACAAGAATAGAATGGTATACTTCATCAAATGTGTAAACAGCAAATAATAATAGTGAGTGAGGCAGACTAAGTTACCAATATGCCAGGGAGAGTGAAGAAACTCCTCTATGTTGGAAGACTTTAAGCTCTCTCATCACTTGAAGGAGTGGCCTTCCTTTTGAACCTAAAGTACCAATGTACTCCTCCTTAATTGAGCCAATAGATTCAAAATAGACCCAAAGGCATTTACTCAAATGGTGTATCAAGTATAATAATTACAAAGCATTTTCCTCAAATACAGGGACTCACTCTCCTACAAATATACATAGACTTTGTGGGAGTGAGGAGTACACAGAAACTTAAAGTGCAATGGTGGTATAGCACATAGAGAAAACACTTGGTCAAGACAACTCACAGCTCCAGAATCATAGAACTTTGATGGGCATTCTCCAAAGGGTCCACATAAAATTTTCTATGGGGCATGGTCTCGTCAGAAACATTCCACTGATTAGCTGGGCTAGCTCCTCACAGGATATGACAACTCCACTGCAGGTGGACTTGCTCCTCACAAGGTATGGTGGCTCAGTTGGGTGGGTCAGTCCAATGTTGAGTTGGGTTTAGTTGGTTAGACAGTTGTTCAATTGGGCCAGGAAGTTGCTGGGCATCAAATGGTTTTTCACTATCTTCAGTCAATAGATGGACTGGTTGGTACTGTGTTCTCTTTGGCTAGAGTACTACTGTGATATTTCAGCTGGGGAAATGATCATTAGCCTAGGATTGCCTCTCCTCTTTGACTCATTTAGGCACTCTGACATAAAAGATCCACCCTTTTCTGTTCAACAATACTTCCTGGTATAAAGGCACTTCCCTCAGTAACATACTGGAGTGTTGCTTTTGGAATAATTGTAATCAATATGCAGAGACAGTCTCCCATATTGTCCATGTCCAAAATAGTGTGTCTCATTCTGCACATTTAGTCCATCTTCTCTCTATCAGAAGGTGAGTATCATTATTCATGTCTGATTCTCTACAATCACAAATAATCATTGCATTTACCAAAGTTCTTGAGCAGAACCAGAAGAACATTGTACACAGTAACAACCACATTGTGTAATGACTGACTTTGATAGACTTAGCTCTTCTCAGCAATGCAAGGATCTAAGACAACTCTAAAAGACTCACAATGGAAAACGCTATCCACATCCAGAGAAAGAACTTTGGAGTCTAAATGCAGATAGAAGCATATATTTGCTCTCCTTTTCTTTTGTTGTTTTCTTTTGTTTCATCTTTCTCATGGTTCCTCCCATTAGTTCTAATTCTTTTTTACATCATGACTAATGTGAAAATATGTTTAATATGAATGCATAAGTAGAGCCTAAAAAAGTGACTAAGGGAAAGAGAACTCTGATTTCCAGTGCCTTCTTATTCATTTTCCCGGGAAGTACTTCTAGAGCCCATTTCTCAAAACTGTCATTTTGGGGGAGCACTTTGCACACAGAGCTCTCTATAAATGCCGTTTGAACTCTGACCTTTCACTTTTAATGCCTATCATAGATGTCCCACTCTTTTTTTCTAAAGATAACTCAGCCATGGACCATTCATTAGAGTGACTTAG